ATTACTATCTGTTTGTTCTCTTTCGATCGTCCCAATATTAAGATGGCTCGTGCACAAAAGAATCTAAATTTAGTCGAGTTCCGAGCTTCGTTTAATTGCCAAAGACTATTGATATAATATCAAGTGCGTGACATGACGCGCTTCTTGATGAAATGTAACGCGGGGAATCACATTTTTTTCACGATATCGTTCTTTGAGGAGTTAACAGTTTGACATCAGTTCGATATCATTATTATACATCGTGGGTCATTATAACTGTACGAATTATGTTTTATAACATTTGGATATTTATAACAATAAATTGTAAAAAATTACTTAGACAATTTGATTTTTTTTATTTTGTTGCTTTGTAGAAATATACCAATGTGATACAACTTTTTTACAATCAAAATCTATTTAACGTAATTTGATTAAAATTCCAAGACAAAGTTCTACCTATTATGTCTGTTAATTGAAGCAAAATTCTTTGGATATTCGTAAGCAAATGACAATATTTCGCCGCTCTCGATTCTAAATTTTTACTTTTTTTCCATATGTCATTATCTTTTACCAATAAATTGCTAAATTGTGGAGATTTAATTTTTAACATTAAATACAACATTCATCTATCGCATTAAGATGATACGTTTTGGATTAAAATGAGATTAACAAGGACACTGATGACGAAGAGGAATGCACGCGAGGTCGGCAGGACAACGACAATGTGGTAGCGTGTGTAAATAAATGACTAAATCACGGGGCGAAGGGAAAGTTGGGAGGGCGATGATCGCGAAGGGAAAGGGTGAGGAGGAATCCCGGAGGAAGGGGGAGTCAGCGCCTGCAAGGCGGACTTGACGCATCAGGTTAGGTAACGCGTATCCATGACGGTTTTTCCCCCGCGGAGAAAGTTAGTCTAGGTACACTTCGACCGTAAAATCGCTTCTCAGCGTACAGCGTCTCCCCATCTTCTCTTCTCTACGTCCTTCTCCCTCCATCTCCCCTTTCTCTCTCTTTCTCTCTTCCTCCCCCTCCCTCCCCCTCTCTCTCTCTCTCTCTCTCTCTCTCTCTCTCTCTCTGTCACTCTATCACTCTATCACTCTTTCTCATCAGACTGATATCTAATCCAAAATTTTTCCTACTTGCGTGTCGTTACTCTACCACATGATAGATTATAAAATCTTGATTAATCTGAGCATTTTCACAAATCGTTTCGGGTGACATCTTTTTCGCAGCTCAAGACGCAAGAATTTATAATAAGCCTACACATTTCGTTACATTATTCTCTTAAAAATCTTGATTATAAATTAATTTATAAATTTACGCGCACATACGCACGCATGCACGCACGCACGCACACGCACACACCCGTACCGTATATATGCTACAAAATTTGCTCACTTTTTCCTAGATTCACTATTCAGTGAAATTATTTACCATTTTGATTCGCCGGTTGAGATTATTTTAACGATTTTGTATTAAAATTAAACGAATTTTTCTCTACTTTTTCTCGCTATCGCACCATGTTTTACAAAGATGAATCAAATCCCAGCTAAAAATAATTAATCGAATCGATGTCAGTCAACGTCGATGCTCTTTAGTCTAACGTCGATTCAACTAATTATTTGTGGCTGCCTTGATGATGAATTTCACGCAATATTCGAATTTTTGCAACGTAAGTATATAATGTTTGACTTTCGAACAAATCTTTTTGTTTATCAAATTGGCTACAATGCCGAATCGAAACCATACAAATGATATACAAATCAATGATCGAAACGCGAAACACTTGGTCTTGGTGAGACCTTTCGTTTCTCCGAGGATCGAAACGCGGGAGATACTTATATTTGACTCTAGAAAATCTTGCATTTGGAAAATTCCGCGTAAATATAAAATCTTTATATTTTGCTTTGGTGTAAAATTTTATTCGGGGTTTAAGAGTTTCTGTATTTTATGATACTTATTTCTCACTTACTCGCAGTCAACGGACAGTATAAAGAATGTAAATTTCGCGCGTATAAAAGTTGTTTACGTATAGTTAAATCGCTCTAAGAAGCGGAGCGATTTTACTGATGTTTTACTTTCGAAAAACGATTGTAATCGTTTTCACTGTCCTTGTCGTATCGTGATTTTCTTAAAGGGTGAATCGAAAAGTCCCCGACACAAACGATCAGTTTAGCAACAAGTGCGGCGGCCACAGAATTAGACACTTTGGACGCGACGGCCAGCTTGGCGCGCAGAGAGGTACTCAACGCGACATCTTCCAGTAGCATGGCGAATTTTCGCTTTCGATGATCATTTCCGGGTACGGAATGACTCAAATGCGGTTATTCCTAGAAACAGTTATTCCCGATCGCGCGCGCGCGCGTGTGTGTGTGTGTGTGTGTGAGACTATGACACAGAGCGGAAAACTTGATGTAAATTATGAAAATTTTAAATTAAATGTTACAAATTAACAATACAATCTATTCTAATAGATGTGTCTTGATAAATATATTTCGTTTCGTCACGCTGACAAAATGAAAATCAATTTTCGAGCCTTGTCGCGGCATTCTAATCGGCTTTCTTAAGGTGCATGGCGTGTGCGCAATCTATTAAGCGAAAGACTTTCTACAAGAAAATAAATGACCGTGGCTATCGGCTGATCTCAGTGGAGAGAGAGAGAACGGCGGATTAACAATTTTCACGCGAAAGTGTGTAGGGTCGATCGGAGATTGGGAATTAGTGAGGATCGAGCAACTGATCGCTGTTCCGACTGTTGCGCACGTTACGTGTTCTCGTCGAAAACCGGAAATGATCTTACGATCGCTAGGAAGTACATGCAGAGTGACGGTTTCAAGCACTTGTCTAAAACATTCTTTAAAAATTCTTTGAAAATTTATCGGAAACCAGATTATTAATACAATTCGATATTAAGATACTTTCATGTCTTTGTTATTCGATATCAATATTTTATTCTGAATCCTAACGTCAATACATGCATCAGGTTTTGATCGTTTAATTAAGGGGTTAGTGGCAGTCAGCAGGCTAAAAAGAAACACTTTTTTGCGATTTTTTCAATGATTTATTGATACTTTTAATTTAAAAAATGTTAATGCATTATAAAGTAAGTTTTATGGAATGTTTAGAAAAATTTTCATGTAAAAATATTCATTTTTTTGGGCATAACAGCCGACGACGTTTTAAAGAAGGTGGCTTGCGGTGAACAAGGTTTCTCGGGACTGGATCATCTGTAAGCAAAAATACGGATGGATTTAGAAAATATATTAGTTTCGCGAGTCCCTGATCGAAGGATTTTGGAAAAAATTAATTAGAAAGAAAATAGCGGACATTGGAAGTGAAAAGTCAATTTTTACCTTAAAAAATGCGTTTATTTTGAGAATAAAAAAAGTATATAAGAAAATAAATCCTTCGACCCGTGAAACTAATATATTTTCTAAATTCATCCGTATTTTTACTTACAGATGATCCATTCCCGAGAAATCTTGCTCACTGCAAGCCACCTTCTTTAAAACGCTATCGGCTGTTATGCCCAAAAAAATGAATATTTTTACATGAAAATTTTTCTAAACATTCCTTAAAACTTACTTTATAATGTATTAAAATTCTTTAAATTGAAAGTATCAATAAATCTCTGAAAATAAATTGCAAAAAAGTGCTTCTTTTTAGTCTGCTGACTGCCACTAACCCATTAACTCTTTTACACGTAAATGGAATAATCTTTTCTCAAAATAATTCAGACGCCCAGAAGTCAGGAAAGTCTTAAAATTTCAAGAAATTGAACGAAGAAAATTTCCATCGTAATAATAATCGACAATGTCGACCGCTAGCGCGATTTCACCGAGTCGCGCATTGACTCGCGAAACAATTCGGTGCATTGTCATCATCATTATTGACGACGACGATGACGACGAAGACGATTATAAAACGCTGTGATAACGGTACGCATATTTTCTCCCCTTCCGACACGAAGCGATGGAAAGACGGAAGCATTGCCGTGTAACTGGGTCAGCCGCAGACGACGATGACGATAGACGATAGGGGAAAAGAAAAAGAGACCTCTCGTCCATCATTGGCGTAGTGCGCGAGCGCGTTACACGTAAGTGCGTAAACGCGTATTTACGTACCGCTAACCTGCCTTCTACAGCCGCTTGCGTGTTTTACCGTCTCCATGTACCGTTAGGGACGTTTGAGTTAATCTTTCTTTCTCTCCCTCTCCTCTGCTCCACTCCTTTCTCCCCCCC